AGCAATAGTATTAAATTTTGATGCTAGCAATTCATGATCAGATTTTAAATTAACATGCTTGCTTTTAAGATCAATGAAATTATTATGCAACTTAGTGTAAACATGCATTAACCTATCATATGCACAAGCAAGTTCATCATTAGGTAAATCATTTATGGTTTCGAACTCGCAAACCTCACTAGGGCTATCCCCTAGTGGCCGTGTGCATGATGCTCCACATGAACTTGAAGCCGGATCCGCCAAAACTTGTTAGATCGCCTCCAAGTCCCCTTGATGTGCTTTAATTAATTTCCATAAGGTGTAAGCACTATCAACATGAACAAAATGATGAGTCAAAGGCATTAAGCAAATATTCTAACAAAAGCTTGTTCATATTAAACATTCTTTTATCATTGTTACTCCACTTGGATTTTTCCGAAGTGGGTATAATATAAGCATCTTCAATAACTTCCCATAAATCGAATTGTTTAGATCTAACAAATATGTTAAATCTAGAACACCATTGGTCATATGGGAGATTATCTATTTTAGGAGCAACAATAGGATCATAGCCTAAACATGATGCACAATGTATGTCCATAATAAGAAAATATATGCAAGCAAGATACAAATAAAGTTCAAAAATAGATTAGCACAATAAGCTAACTTGGATCTTTAACTCAAGACGATTAGACCTTAAATCAAAGAGCACCAAGCTCTGATACCAATTGTTAGACCCTAGAGGGGGGGTGATTAGGGTCTTATGCTAATCTAATCCGATTAAATGCCAATTAAAACTAATTAACAAGATAGTGGATGATATAGATAATGAGCTAATGACAATGGCGATATAAGATCTGAACATAAATATGAATGAACGCCAAAGCACACTCAAACAAGCAATATGATCACGGAGTTCGGACCTTCCGTCCTACGTCTCCGCTCCCCACTCCCGGGGAGAAATCCACTATCACAACCGGGTTTTCTACGCTCACCCGAATAACGTTTACACCTCACAGTGTCGGTTTTCAACGCTCACCGATCAACGTTCACACTCACCCTCACAATGTCGGTTTTCAACGTTCACCGATCAACGTCCACTCCTCACACTCGGTTTTCTAGTTCACCGAAAACTTCACAACACACTCGGTTTCTAGCTCACCGAAAACCTTACAACACTCACAAAGTAAATACAACAAATTTGTTCTCTACAATAGATGAGAACACAATGTAGCTCACTCTCAATTTGTTACAACTCCCTACAACCCAAATTACACTATGAATGTAAATACAATAAGCTCAATGGTTGTGTGTGTAAGCAATGAGAAAAAACAAATCAAATCAACTAAACTCAAATATAAAATCTAGCTTAAGAACAATGATAATCAAACAAGTATATAAATGTAAAGCTAGAGTTTGAGTTTAGAAAACTTCTCAATTGATAACAAGAGATGGAGGGAGGATAGTTGGAAGCTCAAACTTCAATAGATAATCTCCTCAAGCTCTTGTGGAATTGATTCACAAAACCGAAACACTCAAATGCTTAAAAGCTTCTTAAAACAAACTTAAACAAACACTAAACAAGTTTAAACCCTTGTTAAACTATTTTAAAACATTCTCTTAAATTGTTGAAATCTGAGATCAAAGGAGTTTTTATAGCCTCCCAAAGACCTCAGCCAAAACCCAAAACAAATGACAAAAAGCCCAGCCAACGGTAACAAAAATAGCCGTTGGAAAAGTCTGACAGAGCGGCGGTCGATCGGAAATTCTCGCGGTCGACCGCGATCTAGGTTCCAAACGGAGAAAACGCACAGAGAGTTCGTCGGTCGACCGGTGGAAATATCGGTCGACCGGCGGTACTGTAGCAGGTATATCCGATTTTATAAAATCAGTTAAAAATAGTAAAACAGCTCCAAAAATTATGAAATTTTGAGGGAAGGTTTTAGACATGTATAAAAATATGTTAGAGAAATAATTTCTGAAAAAGCATTTTCCAGTCGAGATAAATAAATGTTTGAACACAGAAATACAGTTTCTGAAAATCTGCTGTAATACACGATTTTGTAAAATCAATTAGGCACAGTAAATCAACTCCAAAAATAGTAAAATTTTGAGAGAAGTTTCTAAACATATAGATAAACATGTCAAAGAAAGAATTTCTTGAATATAACTTCCCATTTATGAAAACTCATCGGTTTTGTAAAAACATGCACGAACATGCACGAATGAAATTTGTAAATTCCATTAAACATAACAAATCAATTCCAAACTTGATGAAACTTTTCAAAATATTTATAAACATGAAAACAAACATGTTACAAAAATAATTTTTCAATTTTCATTTCTCAATTGTGAAAACTCATTATTTTGTAAAAACATGCATGAATATGAATTTGTTAAGAACATGTTTTTGACAAAAAGAGTTTAAACGCATATTGAAACTTTATGAAATGTCTTCATAAACATTATAACATATGAATATAAAGTAAACATGGTCAATAAAACAATATCACAAAGTTTTCTCAAAATAGCTCATTTTGTGAGAAAATCCAATGTTGTGTGTGTATATGATATTGAGCTTAGAGTATTAAACACACATAATATAAACCTATACTAAATATACCCAAGCTTGATGAAGGTCTTCAATGATCATGACTTAGTAAACTTTGCGGAAGAAGCTTAAACTTGATCTTTAACTTTGAATTGCATAAGCTTCACCGACATTCTGCCAACCTCCTTTTGATATGATCGTGAATGCTCGATTCCATCCATCCTCCAACTCGTTGTTTGCCTAGAATAAATACGAAAATACAAACACTAGACAAACAACATTAGTTATAAATTGTTTGTAAATCATCATCAAAACAAGAAGGCCAACACACAACTCCCTCAAGAACCTCATCGGTTCCTAACCTTCCTCTTCCCCACTCAAGCTCACTAGCTGACTTGATCGTCGGAGGAACCACAGGGGAACCGGTTCCTGTTCTCTTACAAATTCTTTGCTTGTGTAGCATGATCGGTAACCCTAGTTAAAGAACCAGACATAAAGTCGGAGAAAGAGGCGGCCCTAGTTCATCAATCTCCTCTATCTTATCCCGACGAGGGCCCAAGAGAAATCGATCTCGCCTCGAATCCAAACTAGCTGGCTGTGTGATCTTAGTCATTAACACATAAACATCGACCAATATATTGCTATATCGGCCAATATATGGGGTTAAAGACTTTATCTCGGTAATATTTTATATTATTTTCTTTTGTTTGTTGATTTTTTTGATATCGACCATTATCGAAAACAAGCCGATATATCTCTTTGAAGATATCGAGAAAACATGACATTTTTCATTTGATTGTGGTCTGGGGTTTGGATCGTGTTTGGAAAATAAAATCGGAACCCGCAAAACCCATAAAGGCCACAATTCTTCCCCCAAATCTCTTCACTCTAGGCTCTCCCAAATCTTAAGCATATATCTTGATGCAAATTATTATCTTTAAAATTTATTAATATGTTAGATTACATATTATAATATCATGTTATGTATGAATATTATCTCATATGACACCCAATATTACATACATATCCCTGATTTTTGCAACCCTATATCATAGACTTTAATTTTTAATATTTATTTAATGTTCAACACTTTGTAGTAGTCATTCAAAGACCTCTTCTAAAGTTTTCAAAGAGAAGTATATAATTTCAGAAAATAATTCAAAATCTTGAGACTTATTCAAAATATGATGTTTTAATTTTTCCACATCTCCTCTACTATATAAATATAAGCTAAGCATATGGCCTCATATTGTATGATGAATATTATTTATCAATGGGATCATACTATTGTTTGTGGATAACAAAGGTTTCAAATCTTTTGTAGGTTTAATTGAACTTAAATACCTTGTAGTTTACCAAAATTATATTTATATACCTCCACTTGTATCTTGCTACTTTTTTTTTCTTAATTTTAGATAACGTATCTTGATGCTCTTAATAAATCCTAATGTTTTCTAAAATTTAATGTTTGTATCTTCTGTCTTGTTACCTAAATATAAGAATGCTCTTTGTAATTTTCCTATATGAGTTTCATGGTATAGTTTTAGGACAATTCTATGTTTTCTACTCTTATCATAAATACTTTATTGACATGCAATTATCTATTAAATATATTATTATACATTACTAATAATTAATATGATGTAGAGTTTTATAATAACGTTGGAAGTTTTAGGGACCAAATTATGCAAACTTAAAGTGATATATAATATAATTAATTAACAATAATAATTAACTTAGCTTAGTTAGTATTAGAATGTAATAGCAAAGGAGAATAGCAGTAATATAGTCATTGGAAAGTTTTTCCACAACTCCCTCTTTTAAAGAGAGTGATATGATATGATACAAGAGATTTCACACATATTTGACCACGGGAAAATCGTGTATATATTAACCTAGCAAGCTAAATTACATACTTCCTGAAGGACTCACAAAATTTGTGGTAGGGCACTTGCTCTATCATAATAAACCCTGGCTCTGCCCACGAGAGTTATAGTACACACTACACACAAAAATGTAGGGTCATTCATCACAGAATTGCAATGTGCAATCATGAGTTTCTACAGACTCAATAATTTTTGTGTCTTGTAGTACAGCTCTTGTAGTTTAGTTCATATATTCATAACTTTATACACGAACAGTTCATATAAATTTACCTTTTCTAAGTGCAAGAACTGATGATAAGATACATTCATATGTTAGGTAGTTCATATCCACCGTTAAGTTTCATCAAATGTGGATGCCGAGTTGAATGTCAGAATACCATCCATATGCCTAACTTTTTTCCCCCTCAGAAAAAGTAATACAAATACCATAATATTAATAATTTTCTATATACCCACCCATCGAGAACAATTCTCTTAATCATGACATTCTTGCAGTTAAACTATGTATATCAAATGGCATATAGACATGATAAACTATAGTTTCTCCTAAAATTGTGACAGAGCAAATCTCTTTTCTTGAACAGGTTTTAGACAAGCACAGAAGCAAGAAATCAAGATGGATCAGAACAAAAGTAGTCGTAGACGATCACATCGTAATCCCAAGCCTGAACATTTCATCAGAAAGAACTCCAGACCAAATTGTTGAAGACTACATATCATCCCTCTCTACAAGTTCCCTCCCCTTAACCCGCCCTTTATGGGACCTCCACATCATCAACATTCCCACCTCAAAATCCGAAGCCGTATCTATTCTTCGAATGCATCACTCTCTTGGTGATGGTATCTCTCTAATGTCGCTGTTACTTGCTGGTACTCGAAAAATATCTGATCCTGATTCAGCTCCATCACTTCCTCTGTCGAGATCAAGAAAGGCAAAATCTTTTGATCGTGGTGGTATGTTATGGCGGCTGATGGTGTGGATTTGGTTGGTTTTGGCGCATTTTTGGAATACAGTGATTGATGCAGTGATGTTAGGAGCTAGTTGTGTGTTTTTGAGGGATACTGAAACACCGATAAAGGGGGTGGAGGGATTTGAGTTTCGTCGGAAGCGGTTCGTTAGTACAACGTTGAGCCTGGAGGATGCCGAGGTTGTTAAGAATGCTTTTGGATGTGTAAGTTCTTGTTTACTTCTGTCGCTTTAGTAAGTTTTACCTAGCACCATGCTTTTGGATGTGTAAGTTCTTGTTCACCATGTTAATGCCTTTTCTTTTCACTAAGTCAAATGTTATACTGGGTAAACAAGTAGTGTTAAAAACAGGGTTTTCTCCTCTAAATATGGGACATGGTAATATGCTTTGTATGTGTCCATATCCATGTTCCCATATATATCCTAGTATTTTAACTTTTCCGTGTTTTATCACTATAGGATATTCAAATATCTGTCATGTAATTCTGTTGATTATGTTACATATTTGAAGAAGTATGATCTTAGAAACATGATTTATTTCATGTAGAGTCGACATAGTGTTATCGACATCAAAAAAGTTTATTTTGATGTGATTCTGGTGTGAAACTCGCACCGCATAAGTTGTTGATGTAATATTAAATTTTACCCCTCCTCGCATTACTACTTCGTTTCATATCCAATTCCACTTACATTGCTTATTTGTCCGGACCACGTTAACTATAAGCTTTTATACCCTTTTTCATTTTTTTATAACTTCTATTACTCTCTTACATTGCGAGGTTTTGATCTTTGATGATCTATCATGTGACCCTCCATTATTTTTTTTCTTATTTAATGTTGAAAATGAATTAAGCATATCTGAAACCAGTTTATATTGTTTCCTGGGCATTTACCAATTACGTAACATTAATGCTGACAGAAAACTTTGAAACAGGGGGAAAAAAGCTTGTAGCCCTAGACTCTTCTATTTCTCCCTCTTATATTGCCTTTTTTTATTGACTTATATTGCTAATATTTCAAATTAATCGTAGACCATAAATGACGTTATGCTGGGAATAACATCGGCTGGGCTTTCTCGTTATCTCAGTACGAGATACAATGATACTTCCAATGAGAAAAAGAATGCGGGGAGCCTCCCAGCAAATATCAGACTCAGAACAACTCTCATGGTGAACATTAGGGCGCCAGCAGGGATCGATGTAAACAATTCAATTAGTTTCTCATTTTTCTTTCTACTATTTTTGAACGTTGAGTTTTTTAACTAATTTTTTAAATTAATGGAATATATAGGAAATGACCAAAATGATTGAAGGTGATAATAGCTGCACAACGTGGGGGAATTGGCTGGGCTACATGATTGTTCCAATCCCCATTATGATTTGCAAAGACCCCCTGGATTATATCCGAAAGGGAATAGAGATTGCCCAAAGGAAGAGGACATCATTGGAGGCAATTTTCACTTACATAACTGGTTGTCTAATAATCAAAATTTTGGGAATCAAGGTTTGCATTTCTATTTAATCTCTTCTGTCATTTACTAAAACCCCATGTTTTGTAATTTAGTATATTAGGAAGTTAAGGAGAAAATACTTGATGAATTGGTATTCTTTATTCTTATATTTACTTAGAAACTAATATTTTAGACCATGTTAAGCAGCTTCAGCCAATAACTCTACTCTACTCTAGGAATTTCAAAGACATATATACATCATTTATGAATTGAATTCACATCAATTTCTTTCCTATGCGGTGTGTGTGTGTGTGTGTGTGTGTGTGTGTGTGTGTGTGTGTGTGTGTGTGTGTGTGTGTGTGTGTGTGTGTGTGTGTGTGTGTGTGTGTGTGTGTGTGTGTGTGTGTGTGTGTGTGTGTGTGTGTGTGTGTGTGTGTGTGTGTGTGTGTGTGTGTGTGTGTGTGTGTGTGTGTGTGTGTGTGTGTGTGTGTGTGTGTGTGTGTGTGTGTGTGTGTGTGTGTGTGTGTGTGTGTGTGTGTGTGTGTGTGTGTGTGTATATATATATATATATATGTGTGTGTGTGTGTGTGTGTGTGTGTGTGTGTGTGTGTGTGTGTATATATATATATATGTATAAGTTTTTTTTAATATGTTTTGATAACATGTTATTAGGATTTCTAATCTATTTTGGTAACATGATTCTTAATTTGTTTTGGTAATATGTTATTAGGATTCCTAATTTGTTTTGTTTTTGGTTTTAGGATTCCTAGTCTGTTTTGATTTTAGGTTTTCTATATATATGGAACGTTTTAGAAGAGATTAGAATCATCAAAAAGAGGAGAGTTGTGATCATAGATTAGAGTGACTTTTGATCATTGTGAGGGGGAGATATTGTGAGCAAGTTGAGAGCTTTGGTTGAGGGTTAGTTTGTGAGTTTTTGTGAGATTGTAACCCTTTGTATTCTCCTTGATTTAGTGGAATCTCTCCATCCTCTCCCCGTAGACGTAGACAAATTGCCGAACCACGTATATCTCTGTGTTTGTGGTTGATCTGTCGTATTTCAGTTTTGGATTGTGCTCGTGTGTGATTGGTTATTCTTCTTCCGTGCTTACGACTTGTTTGGTGAGCGAGCACGCTTCCGCATAGGCGCGCGACAATTGGTATCAGAGCACAACATCCTCTTCTTCTCATCTTTCCTCATTTCCATCTAGAACAAAACTAAGGATTAGAACAAAGTAAAATAGAGAGATTTTTAATTTATCAAAATACAAAAGAAATTTTCATCTAATATGTTATGATTTTATAAAATAGAAATTATCTTAGGAAGAAGCGATCTTTGGAATGGTAAAGTGTTGGATGCTTTGTTCATGAAAAGGCAATTTTGCCTTTGTGAATAGTCCCACATTGGAAAATGAGATGAATAGTATTGGGTATATAATGGTTCTCTCCTTATTGGGCTTTGAATAGTGTTTTGGGTTTTGTGGGCTTTGCATATCTATCTCACAGACGCGTGCGCACACGCACGCCACGCCCCGCACGCGCGCGCGTGCGCGCGTGCCACACCGTATCGCACACGCACACATTTTTGCTTCTCAAGCTTTTATTTTTGCACGTTTTACACGTTTTGTAACGGCTGCATGCGGTAACTGAAGCAAGATTTGTGCGTAACGGTCCCTTGGATTCAGCGGGGGTTACACTTCTCCTCACCTATATAAGCAGGCTTGGAGCTCATTCAGAGGTACACCAACGAAGAGAAGAACTTCTTCTTTCTCTACTCTCATTTCTCCAAGAATATTTTGGCTACATATTTACATTTATATTTTGGGCAACCGTTTTTCGTCTGAGCATAAGCTCTGTGACTCACGCCCGAGTGCAGAGGCCGGCCGATTCTGGGGGTTTTTACCGCTAGGGGAGAGGGGACAGATTGCGCCAGGGCGATAGGCGGGTCCTCAATCTTCTAGGGTAGTGACATCACGACTGCTCCCGATCAGGCCTGAATTTTCTAACTCTTTAATTTGAATTTTTTATTATTATATTCCTGTTTTGACAGCAATCTAGAAGATTGACAAAAATTTCTTGCTGTTAATTTAAATTAAAAAAAAATGTTCATCGGGATTACTGTTCACCCGAATCTTCATATATTACTTGTTGTATTAGTTAATTGTTTTAATTTATTGCATCTAAATTAGTTAAAAAAGAAAAAAAAATTCTGCTTCTGTACTCAATTTCTGCATTTGTCACTTTTCATATATATATAGTAAAGAAACAAAAAATCTTTAAGTGAACCGGTTCAAGTTTTCTTGGATTAGTTGGTGTCTAAGGCAATGTTTAAGGGTTGCGTAAAGCGCTCTGTAAGAAACGAGGTACTTAATAGATCTTTGATCAACCTCTAGTACTATCCTTACCTGGCTAAACTACCCGAGTAAAACTTTAATTTTTTCACTTTTAGAGTTTTTAGTTAAGAGCAGGTTTAATTAAGTTTCTGGTCTAGTAGTATTGACAAAATCCTTTATTTGATCAGATTACATCTACCTAGACTAGTAAACTCAAATTGGACTTATGGCAATTCCTGATCATTCAAAAAGTAGACTAGTAAACTCAAATTGGACTTATGGCAATTCCTGATCATTCAAAAAGTGTCAAACCTAAGAAGTTCACCGGTGTCAACTATAAACGGTGGGCTAATCAGATAAAATACTGGCTCACTATCTTAGGTCTTTTATCTGCTATTAACACTCCTGAGTCTTCTACTAGTGGTTCTCAACCTTTGACTCCTGATCCTGCACAGCCTGCTCCTTCCATTTCTGGTTCTGGTGCTAGCTCCTTTTCTAGCTCTATAAAACCAGAAGAAATCAACTATCATTGTTGTCATAGGATTCTTAGTGCACTTGCGGACAACCTTTATGACATATACTATGAGTTCAAAAGTGCAAAAGACCTATGGAATGCTCTTGAAGCAGAATATGGCTATGATGATGCTGGAATTCTGCGTTTCACCTCCTCCTCCTTCAATAAGTTCATGATGGTTGATGACAAGCCCATTAATGAACAAATTCATGAATTCCTAGATTTTCTCCGTCATCTCCAATCAAAAGGAAACACTTTTACTGACGATTATAAAGTTTCCTGTTTGATTGATAAACTTCCTCCCTTCTGATCTAGATTTGCTGGAGATCTTCGACACAAGTAAGGAGATCTAACCTTAACTGAAGCCCTCAAGGCTATTCGTATTGAAGACCAGCATAGACAAAATTCCAACACCAAGAATGAAACAAAAGCTAAAGTAAACTTGGTAGAGGATAAGCCTAAATCTAAGAATTTCAAACCCAAAGGTAAGAAATTCAAGAAAAATCAACAATCTTTCAACAAATCTTTAAATCTAGACCAGGATAGGCAAAATTCCAACACCAAGAATGAAACAAAAGCTAAAGTAAACTTGGTAGAGGATAAGCCTAAATCTAAGAATTTCAAACCTAAAGGTAAGAAATTCAAGAAAAATCAACAATCTTTCAACAAAATTTTCAACAAATCTTCCTTCAAACCAAATCCTAATTCTTCCAGCCATAAGTCTGATGGAAAGTTCTGCTTTGTCTGTGGTAGAACCAACCACATGGCTCCCAACTGTTTCTTTTGGAAGAAGGAACCGGCTAAACCTATTCCTAAAGGAAATGGATCCAACAAAGTTAATATGATTGAAATGAATCCAACCTCTTTCAGGTTAGCCTCTTCATCTCATCTTATAAATTCTATAACTTCTTCCACTGATTGGTATTTGGATTCCGGAGTAAATATCCACATCTGTAATGATCGCTCTTGGTTTTTATATTATCAGGAATCAAGTGGAGGAAGCATAAGCTTAGCAGATGACTCCACTAAATCAAAAATAGGAAGTGGACGTATAGAGTTCACCATGACTTCTGGGAAAGCTCTTCATCTGCAAGGCGTTTATCATGTTCCTTCTCTCCGCCGCAATCTGATTAGTGAATCTCTTCTTCTTAGAGATGGTTATAGGATTGTAAAAGAATCCAACAAATTTGTGATTACAAAGAGTAATGTTTTCATAGGAAAATGTTTTATCTGCAATGGCCTTTTCAAACTCAATGTAATCAATTCCAGTTCTAATAAAATTTCTGAGTCTTCTGTTATACAAATTGTTGAATCTTGTGATGTCTGGCATGGATGACTTGGACATGTCAATTTTCAAACCTTACAGAGAATGAGTAAATTAAACCTTATTCCCAAATCTTCTCATGATACCTCATCTAAGTGTGAAATCTGTGTTCAAGGGAAACACACTAAAAAATCCTTCAAGTCTATAACTAGAAACTCCGAACCCCTTGAATTAATTCATAGTGATGTGTGTGACTCAAACCGAGTTCTCACTCGAGGGGGTAGGAGGTATTTTGTGACTTTTATAGACGATCACTCCAGATATTGTTACACCTATCTTCTCAAAACTAAAGATGAAGTCTTAGATAGGTTTAAGGTGTACAAAGCTGAATCTGAGAACCAACTTGACAGGAAGATCAAGATTCTAAGATCTGATCGTGGGGGGGAGTATACCTCAAATCATATGACTGAATATTACCAAGAACACGGTATTATTCATGAGGTTACTGCTCTCTATACACCACAGTCTAACGGGGTAGTTGAACGAAAGAATAGAACCCTAATGGACATGGTGAACTGTATGTTACTCAGTTCAGGAGCACCTGAAAATCTCTGGGGTGAAGCTCTTCTTTCTGCTTGCTTCATTCTTAATAGGATTCCCCAGAAAAATTCTGATACAACTCCTTATGAATATTGGAAGGGGAGATCTCCTAATCTGAATTTCTTCCGGGTTTGGGGTTACTTGGCTAAAGTAGCTATTCCCGAATCTAAGAAGAGAAAAATTGGTTCTAAGACTATAGATGCTGCTTTTATTGGATATGCACTAGATAGTAATGTTAACAGATTTCTAGTCATCAACTCTGAAATCAGTGACATATCCAATAATACCATCATTGAAGAAAGAGATGCAGTCTACTTTGAAAACATCTTTCCTTTCAAATCT